GGTTCACTCCCAGCCTGCCAGGTGGCTGCCCCTGAGCACCACCTGAGCAGAGGTCACAGAATGCTTATCCTCCCAAGCACAGAGCTGTTACCATTCAAGCCTCTGTAGCCTCCAAGAACCTCACAATCAAGAGCTTCACAAGATCTCATATCTGAACTAAACCTGCAGCCTCGCTCTCCAGTCTACAAGGAGACTCACTGAGAGCATCAGACCCCTCTTCCCTTTGTTTTGTATTCTTTTTACTAGAAGCTTTATTGAGATGCCATTCACATTGCATACAATCAACCATGTAAAGTATATATACACAAAATTATATAACTATCATCACAGTCTCAGAACATTTTCATCACCTGTGAAAGAAACCTTATACCCATTAACGATATCTCTTATAGCCTAGTCACCCCTAGGTAAGCAGAAATCAACTGGTTCCATGGATTTGTCTATTCTGAACATTTCATTTCAGTGGGCTCCTATAGTATGTCTTCTATTATGACTGGCTTTCACTTATAAAGGCTCATCCTGTGAGTCTGTCCCATTTTATTGTTAAATAATATTCCCTTGTATGTATATCCCAAATTTTATTTCTCCTTTCATCAGTTGAAGGTCCCTCAGTTCTTAAAATTTTTTAAAGATTTATTTTATTTACTTGGAGAGAGAAAGAGATCTTCCATTTGCTGGTTCACTCCCCAGATAACTGCCAGGAGCTTCAAACTCCATCTGGGTCTCCCATGTGGGTGCTGGGGACAAAATAGTTGGGCCATCTTCTGCTGTTTTCTTGGGCACATTAGCAGGGTGCTGGATCGGAAGCTGAGCAGGCTGAGCTCAACCCAGTGCTTCAATAAGGGATACAGTACATTACAAGCGTGTGGTTAACCTGTTGTGCCAAAATGGCAGCCCCAAGGGGTCCCTAATTCTTGAAGCTTCTAGTTATTTTCTCTCCAACTCTTTCCTGCTGGTAGCCCCAGATTAGGGACCATATGCTCATCAGCTAAGTATAAGAAAAATAGGAAGTGGCAAAGACTGTGCCAAATCAGAAGTCATGTGCCACATGTTGAAGGGACAGCCTCTACACAGTCACTGCCACTGAGCCATCCAAGTTTGATGTTATCAAATCCTCAGACTGTCCCAGAGACAGGAAGATTCATGAAGATTTCCTGATTTTTCAATGTTGGTCAATTAAAACAAACAGTTGCTTTGTGGAACAGACAAAACAGAGTAAGACTAAACACTGAATATGGTCCCTGAGTGATACAGAGAAACGCATCTATTCTGGGGGAGCTGATGAAGGACTAGCTGGACCATGGACTCACCTAGAAACACCTGCCTTCTCATTTGACCACACAAAAACAATGCTCATCCCTTTGGAGGAAAGAAGAGCCCAGGCCTATGTTTGAAGGCTCTTGGTTGAGAGGCATGTGAAATTCCTCCCATTCTTTGGCTCCTGGAGCTGTTGCTGCAGAGGAAAACAAAGCATTGGCTAAAGTCTTGACTAAAAGAGTGTAAATTGTTCTGCCTACTTCAGGATGGATTATGATCTGCAAACATGTCCTTGATTATGCCCATGGCTTCAACCTTGGTGAACTGCGACTGTGCCCTGAGTCCATGAAGAGAGATTTGTGGAAATGGGAAAGGAGATACGGTGATTATGTGCTTTCTCTATGTAGAGAAAACACCCTACTAATGCAGGTTGGGGAAGAGAAAATATTATGGTTTATGACAATAACAGCTAGTGTTTATTGAGTAAACAACCATTCTATTTATTGTCCACTCTCCATTTTGTTTTGCATATGACCATGAACAAAGTGGATATTTTTAAAGGGAATGAAACTGATGGAAACTAGCATTTTCATAGTGGTTGGTAATTGCAAAGAGATTTTTAGGTGCATTCTGTAATCTGAACTGATGAGGACAGGCATTTGTACCCAACTTTGTTTATACATAAGACGTAAAAGAGATGACTAAGTTCAGCCAACAGAAGGGTCTAAGATTTAAATCCCTATCCTTGGATTCCAAATCCCATATCTTTTGCACAGATACAGAACTATCTTTCTACTTTTTTTATAAAAAGATTTATTATTATTATTATTTATTTGAGAGATAGTTACAGACAGAGGGAAAGACAGAGAGAAAAGTCTTCCATCTGCTGGTTCACTCCCCATATGACCACAACCCTTGAGGGTGCTCCAGGACAAAGCCGGAAGCCTAGAACTCCATCTGAGTTTCTCATATGGGTGGCAGGGGTCCAAGCGCTTGGGCCATCTTTTACTGCTCTCCCAGGCCATAGCAGAGAGCTGGATTGGAAGAGGAGCAGCTGGGATAAGAACTGGTGCTCATATGGGAATGCTGGCTTCACAGGTAGAAGCTTAGCCCAGTATACCACAGAATCAACCCCTTTTCTAATACTCTCTAATTTGGGTATTTCTAAGTAATATGAGGGTACTTCAGAAAATTCATGGAAAATGAAAGATCTCTGTGAGTGAGATCCTAGTGGAAAGAATGGGGCCATCAAAGAAGGAGGTACCTTTCTCTGAAGGGAGGAGTGAACTTCCACTTTGGCTATGACCCTGCCTGAATAAGATCGAAGTCGGTGAACTCAAAAGACTTCCATAGCCTTGGCAACTCAAGACTAGAGCCTAGGGAGATTACTGACTTCTGTTGTTAAGTCAACAACAGAAGTCTCTGTGTACTTACTCCTCATGTGGGATCTGTCCTTAATGTGTTGTCCAATGTGAAGTAATGCTATAACTAGTACTGAAACAGTATTTTACACTTTGTGTTTCTGTGTGGGTGCAAACTGATGAAATCTTTACTTAATATATACTAAATCGATCTTCTGTATATAAAGATAATTGAAAATGAATCTTGGCCGGCACTGTGGCTCACTAGGCTAATCCTCCACCTTGCGGCGCCAGCACACTGGGTTCTAGTCCTGGTCGGGGCGCCGGATTCTGTCCCGGTTGCCCCTCTTCCAGGCCAGCTCTCTGCTGTGGCCAGGGAGTGCAGTGGAGGATGGCCCAAGTGCTTGGGCCCTGCACCTGCATGGGAGACCAGGATAAGCACCTGGCTCCTGCCATCGGATCAGCGCAGTGCGCTGGCCGCAGCACGCCGGCCGCGGTGGCCTTTGGAGGGTGAACCAACGGCAAAAGGAAGACCTTTCTCTCTGTCTCTCTCACTATCCACTCTGCCTGTCAAAAAAAAAAAAAAAAAAAGAAATGAATCTTGATGTGAATGGAATGGGAGAGGGAGCGGGAGATGGGAGGGGTGCGAGTGAGAGGGAAGTTATGGGGGGGAAGCCATTGTAATCCATAAACTGTACTTTGGAAATTTATATTTACTAAATAAAAGTTTAAAAATGGAATTAAAAGATGTTTATCGTGGTATAAAATTTTTTAAATAAATATTTTTTCATGATATGCATTTTCATGAACTTTTTGAAGACCATTATGCATAGATTTTAAAAATGTGTAACAAAATGCATTCTATTTTTCTATGAGCTCTTTGAAGTACCTTCATAAGAATAGATATTTTTGGACTTAATACAGTATTTAAATTTATTACCCACTCAGAAAACAATAAAAGCAAATGTGGATTTCAAAAGTATTTTACTAGTTTCCATATTCTTTGGTTGAATCTTCAACACTAAATTAATTTATTAGCTAGCTAATAATTGGGAGCAGGTATGTGCATTAATAATTCAGGTATCATCCTTAAAGAATTCTGATGATGAGAACAGCAGATGTGGGAGACATCACTAACTTGATCCATGTTAGCTCCGTAGTCTACCTCCTTCTCCCCCTCTCCCCAATTCTCTCCCTTCTTCCTGCTTGTTGTCTTTCGTTTTATTTTAGTTTTTGCTCAGTAAAAGAAGAGATAATTCCTTAGGAGCAATAAAAAGCCTCTGGCATTGTCCTATATGTATCTTTTTTGGTTTATTCCTTCAGTCATTCAGTTTATTCAAAATTGAACATTCAGTTAGCACTTCGTTAATTCCCATTGCCCTTCAACAAGTCAACATGAATTTATCAGTCTCACTATGACATTTGCAGAGTGGTCTCTCATAACTGAATGATGGTTTTCATTGTGCTATATTTCTGTCTCATGCCACAGGATAACCAACACTGCACAAAGGTTGACCTTTGTTGGTCTAGTCTGTTTTCATAAGGATGGGAAATAGGGAAATGTACGGAATTATTTATCTCAACCAGGATGTATTTGCAAGTAAAAGGAAACACTAGTAATAATCACTCAGGAACAATAGATGAATCCAGACCCATAGGGTCTTCTGTATATTGTGTGCAAATGAATACTTAAACACTGACCGTAGGAATATATTGAGTATCCTATAGGTTTGGAGCACTTGTTTTGGAAGCTTTACATACTTTATCTAATTCTTAAAAAATCTTACAAAATCGATACAGGGGCACTTCAAAAAGTTTATGGAAAAATGGTATTAAAAGACAAGTTGGGGGCCAGTGCCGTGACTCACTAGGCTAATCCTCCACCTGCGGTACTGGCATCCCATATGGGCGCTGGGTTCTAGTCCCTGTTGCTCCTCTTCCAGTCCAGCTCTCTGCTGTGGCCCAGGAGGGCAGTGGAGGATGGCCCAAGTGCTTGGGCCTCTGCACCTGCATGGGAGACCAGGAGGAAGCACCTGGCTCCTGGCTTTGGATCGGTGTAGTGCTGGCCATAGCAGCCATTTGGGGAGTGAACCAGGGGAAGGAAGACCTTTCTCTCTCTCTCTCTCTCTCTCTCTCACTTTCTGTAATTCTACCTGTCAAATAAATAAATAAAAATCTAAAAAAAAAAAAAGGTAAGTTTACTTTGGGACAAAAAAATTGAAATCTATGCCTACCTTTCCAAAATATGCATTTCTGTGATATTTTGAATTTCTCCTATTCATATATTATTTTAAAAATCCTTTGCACCAAAATAAATTGTTTTTCTTAGCTATGAAACACCAGGAGCTGTATTGATGGTCTTTCTTTCCACCATTCTTTTAGGTCTGCCAGTTTGTTGTCTCTGTCAACGGACTCAACGTGCTGCATGTAGACTACCGGACCGTGAGCAATCTGATCCTGACGGGCCCACGGACAATTGTCATGGAAGTCATGGAGGAGTTAGAGTGCTGAGCTGCAGGACCACCCAGCCCTTCAGTGGCCTGTGGGTGATCAAAGCCAGAACGGTGCCAAGCAATGCAGAGACAAGACTTCCATGCAAGTGGATGGCTTTGGACATACAAACTTTTCTCTGTACATACTCATCTTCAGTTGAGTTTCATACACTGAATGTGGAAGAATCGGGTAACACATCTTTTAAAAAGCATCAGTGCAGAAAGCATTTGGGAAATAGAGCTTTCCTACAAAATTGCCTTACTAGATTTCTATTTGTGATTCTGGCTCATTGTTTTTATCTTTGTTTGCAGAAAGTTGTTGACTTCTGGCCAAAGTTGCTTCTCTGGCCAAAATCACAGCATGCTGAAATTCTTTTTTATAGGAGCTAATGGAGTGATTGTTCAGACTTTAAATGGTGCTTTCACCAAAATAAGCATGGAAGTATTTGAAAGCAGATCTGAAGTCCACTGTTGCAAATTAAAGCAACATCCAAAGAAGTGTGATTTGTTAACCAGCATTTTAAAGAAGGTTCTAAATCACTCAAGTTCTTAAAAGCCAATAAGAAATTATTTTCTTAATTGTTACCTTTAATACCAACTTTTAACACATTTCAATCATTCATGGCATTAGCAAAAAAACAAAAACACAAACATGCTGTGATGCCATGGGTGGCGACAGACAGGGAGATACTACTTAAAACTGTTTAGCCCTGTTTTCTCTTTTTGAGGTTACAATGTTTTGTTCTATAAGTCAGCTACAGCAGCTTTCTAGAATGAATTCCAAATATGTTGAATGTGAAAACAGAGAAGATTGTATGCACACATATAAAATTCAAAATGAGCCTTTCTGGCAAGATTTCATTTTGAAAGTGTCACTTTTTAAGGGAAGTATTTCAGAACTTGGCCCATCATCTGTGATGAAACTTGAAACTTCAAAATAACCTTCTTCGCCTAACTTTTTACTAACATTATAATGTAACATATTTGAAGGACATGACATGCTGCTTATTGGAGATTTTTTTTTTTGCCAAAATCACTATCTTGTTTTATACTTTTCATCTCATTTGTGTATATGCATGTATCTCTTTTGGTCTAGAAAAGGGTGCATATGGGGGTTGATGTGTAGAGGAAAGTCCTCAAAGTGCCAAATTAGGGAGTCAGGAAATACAAAGTCTTTTCATTTCACATCCTGAATTCCGAATGATGAGGTTACTTATCTTGCATTAATAAAATAACACATGAATGTTTTAGCTCAGCCATTTCTTTGGAATAGGTTATCTACCAAATGTGTTGGTCCTGGTGGAATAGACATACAGTGCTCAAGGTGTTTTATATATACATGTATATATATAATGTGTCACACACATGTCAGTGTTTCTTTCCTGCTCTGTAGCATTAGTTTGAAAATAAGATTTTGAAGTACTATTGAAATGTCTAACATTAGTACTGTCATTCTGCCTTGAAACAAAATTAACACTTCTGTGTATGTGCGTTTATACTGTATGCCAGACTCTGTATTATGGCATTTAATGTATATGATCTTTGTTAATGCTTATCACAGCCCTGCAAGGTAGATACTAATAGTCACATATTTCAGATGTGGCAACTAAGTCTGAACAGATGAAAAATGTTTGCTAAGTCTGCACACAGCTACAGAAACTACTAAGCAATACAGCCTGAACTCAGACAAGGGCTTGTTTAAAGCTAAAGCCTGTGTTACCCCTCCCCCAGTCCTGCTCCATTTGGGGATCTTATACTGAGTGCTTATTCTGTGCCAGATGCTGTGGGACTTTAGATCATTTAGCCTAATTGCTCTGTGAGGTCCATGCTGTTTATCCCCTTTTGTAAATGAGAAGACTGACCCTTGACGAGGGTGGTCCTAAACCCAAGGCCACACAGTGAGTAAGTGGATGACCTTTTTTCACCATAAAACATTGTTATAGCATCTTTAAAAGATAAGTCTTAACTGCTTTATGCCTGCTGGTATTTGTTGACAAAAGAAGAGGAAACGTCTTTCAGGAGATGAAATCTTCTTGCCTGCTTCTTCCATTTTCTGCTTGCAGCCTCCTCCCCGTTGCTTTGGACCCTGGCATCTATAACTTCCCTGTAGCCGGTTCAGGCACCAGAGAAGCTGATCTCTTTATCTACTCTACACGGTTCCTCCTGCCCTCAAGGAAAGCAGACAGAGATGGAGGAAACTTTCCCATCATCCTCAGTGTAAAGGCCAAGTGCCAAAGATCCTCTTAAGGCCACGAGAGCTACTCCTGCCTCCTGCCCCTGACATCCTCACTCAGCAATGAAAATGAATGCCCTCACTTCCCTAGGGCCCCCTCTCCCTCACTCTAGCCTTGGCACAGGTACTTTCTCCTCCCTAAGATGTTCTTTATTTTCCCTCTTTGGCCAGAGATTGTTTTTCCTTAAGAACTCTCTATGGATACCATTTCCCCTGAGAAGCCTGTGTCAGCTACCCAGTTCTGGGATTAATGCCCCTTTTCTAAATTTCAGTGGGCTCTTAAACCACCGCCCCACCCCCTTGGAACACTGCTGACATTTACTTTGATATTATTCCGTTGCATGTCTGTCTCACTAACTGCACTCCAAGCATGTGTGAAATAGGGACTGTATTGGTATCAAGGTTGCTCCCTTCACCCAGCACAAGTTTTGACACAGTAGTATGTCAATTGTCCACTGTTGTCTAATAGATCGCCCCAAATTGTAGCTACTGCAGCACTACCTACGAACTCATGGTTCTGTAGGTGGGCACTTTAGACAGAACTGCTTCATGAAGGCCAGCAGATCTACACACATTTAGGTCAAGGAGCAGGTGAGTCAGAGGCTGGTTGATTTTGGATGGCCCCATGCATGTCTCGAGGTTGGCGGAGCTTTGCCCAGTACATGCAGCTCCACTCCTTGTAGTATTTCTCCATGGTTAGTCCAGGCTGAGATCAAAGAGGGTGAGGTTAGAAACCCTAGGACTTTTCCTTGACTTGCTTCGAAGTAACAGTGTCACCTTACCACCATTTTGTGAGTCAAGACAAGTCATAAAGCTATCCTAAGGGTAGGGAAATAAATTCCACCTTTTGATGGGAAGAGCTTCAAATAATTTGTGGCCAATGTTAATCCACCGAGAGTTGGTACCCACTATTTGTTAAATAAAAACTCAAGAGGTGACCTAGTTACTGAAAGCTTTTGGTTATCTAGATGCACACAACTGGGTAGATGTGTAATATTAAGTCATGAATAAAAATTTCAGTCAGAAAATCCTAAAATGATAGTACTACACAGGGCCACATAGAACAGTGCAGTCTTTTTATCTGACTGATGAGGAAACTTAGATGTGACTTGGCCGTGTGATATGCCCAACCTCTTGAGGCTTGTTGGGTCAGAGTGTGGGCAAATGCCAGTCTAATTTCTCTCAGACCTTTACCTGTAGAGAGGAGTCTTCTCCAGTGGAAGATAATGAAGCCAAAATAGGCCTTTGGCTTGAAGATATTCATAAGATGAAAGCAGTGCCATGTACCTGCAAAGATATGAGAATATTCTTTAATTATTTCAACTCTTGGATTCTTAAATTACATCATAAAAATACAGTATTTTGGGTGATATTTCCATTGTGTCCTGCTTTAAAATAAAAAAATAAATTCTAGATGTATCACCAAAACCTGTCCTAAGTTAATAATAAGCGGTGTTTGTAAGAACTCTTATTTCATATATGTATGTTTGTATAAATAATCTTCAAATAGGAAAGGTTATAGAATGTGAGGTTTCATGTATTGGGAACCTCTGAAATGTCTTTCTCTTACACTTTAGAAAACACTTTTGATTTTTAGGGTGTTTGTGGGATGTATCTGTGTTGTGATAGAGATGCAAGTCATTTTTGTTCTTTCATTAGTACAGAATGCAAATTTGAAAGCCATATTCTATTATAGAGAGACAAAAATGCAGTTGGCTCTTGGATTGCTTTTTGTCTGTTTTAAAACCATATAAGTTAATACAGGAACTGGTTGAGAAGTGGTGGATAACATGAAGAAAATAACCATCTTTGCACAGGGTAGATGTGGTCAACTTCACACCATCATAAGAAAGGTGGCTGTATTGGAAGGGACAGAAATGAGTAATTGAAATTTCAATTAATTCAATTTGGAGCCTTACATTTCCAAATACTCATGCTTTTAAATATGTTTAAGAAATAATCTGCTTTTAAAATCTATTTTATACAAATGATATTAACTATTCTCTCCTGTATTAATCCTGTTTCATTTTGATTATTAATGATCTGAATAATTCAAGAACATTGTGCTAATCAGTTGAAATCTATTGATGTCATTGACCATTGTTTTCATCATTTAAGGCATATTTCAAGTATAATGTATTTTTCTTAAATTAATGCCAAAATGATAAATCTCCCTGTAACAAAATGAAGTTCATTAGCAAAGACAGAATATGGTATTGTCGAATGCACTAGTAAATGTACTTTCTATATATGTATATATATACATATATATACCTTTATTTTAAAATTAGGCTGAGATTTATTTGCTCTCTTTATTAAAAATACTCTTAAAGTTACTGAATGAAAGCACATAGGAGTAGAGCATGAAATAAATGTTACGTTTAAAAAATGACTTTAAGGTTCCAGTTTTCCTGTCTTTTAAAACAAATTAGCCATTTTTATCCTAAGAAAGGGTGTATTATAAAACTGACATTCTTCTAATTTATGAGAATTATGTGTGATTCATCTAATTCCATGATATAGCCAAAAGTGCCATTTGTAAATCTACTTGATGATGAATGTTTTCTGAAAGTCTTTTGTCAAGAAAAAAAACAAAACAAAAAGTACATTAAAAAGCTTTTTCTGTATTACATTTGATTCAGAATCATTTTCTTCCTACACAAGTCAGTGTCAGTGGGTATTCTAGAATATTCTATGTGGAAAAATTCCATGTGCTTGATATCACTCTGGGAGAATGTTTTTTTTTTTTTTTTTTTGAGAATGTTATTTTTCTTTTTAATTTCCAACAAGTATAGGTATACTAGAGATTTGATCCCAAGTACAAAGGAAGTTCCTTTCCTGCACACCTTAATTCAAACATCGTTCCATTTCTCTTTGAGGGAACCTCCTACGTCTAGAGGTTTTGGAGATTCATTCTAGAATGATGTCAGCAATACCACCACCCTGTGCTTTTGTCAGCACAAGCTTTCTGCAGCCAGAGTGGAAGCAGAGGCTGCTGCTTGCCATGCTTCTCTAATACTTGTATGGGCAAAATAAAGGAGTGTTTGGTAAAGAACTTGGCTGAAGGGCAATGTTTTCTTGGTTCTATGACTTGACAACTCCTTTGCCTTTGTGTGTATCGCTGCCTCTGTGACTTTCTCTTCGCCTTGTGGGACTCCATATCTTATTCTGAATACCCTTTGCTCCCCTGGAGTTAAATATTAAACTCATTCCTTGAACTCTGGAATGCCTAGATCATTCCTAGTAGGAGCTTTGAAACGGTGGCTAAGTGATACCTCTCAAGGACCAATCAGAATGGATGGAACATCTGGTACTTAGAACTCCTAGGGGGCTTAAGAAAGAGGGCAGACATTTGCTCTGTAACTGCAACTTTGAAACAATGTGTAAGGGTAGCCAAAACTTTGTGTGTCCAAATAGTAAAAGTTTTGTATATTTCTACTGCTGTGCAGAATGAAGAAACAGACTACCAGCCTTTACTCTTGAACCTGGGAAACCCATGGACTATAGGACATGGTAACATCCAGGCTAATAAATTATTAAGCAGGGAGTACCCCAGTTCTGGTCTTTAGCAGCAGAAAGGAAGGAAAACAAGTATGACGGGCCCCTGGGAAGGTGGGAATCCACGAACAGCAGACCAGTCTGTCTGGGTTAGATAAACAGTCCCTGTTTTGTCAGATTTTCTCTTAGCCAGTCTGAGCTACATCAGAAATGAAAATGGTTCTAGTATTTTCCATGCTTGAAGAGGAGTGGGAGGACGTAGGCTGCCATCTTGCTTCATTAAAGCACATTTTGTTTCTGGTAACAAGCGCAGGGTGATTCCCGTTCCACCTTCTACTTAACCCACTCGCTCTCTTTGCTTTCTTGTCATGTGTTCACACATACCCAATCGACAAGACTGAAACAGAAGTATTAAATGATAAAACCATTTTTATCTGTGAGAGACTGTATATTTGTTGGTTTACTCCATAGCTTTATGGATGAAAACAGTCATAGAAATAACTAATAATAACTAAAATATTTATTGCACTCTAAATATAGGCCAGCTCCTGTGCTAAATGTGTTCTGCGGATGACCTCACTTAATCCTCTCTACAACTGCACAAAGTCAGTCCCAATAAAATTCTTGTTTTAGAAACAAGCATGGCTGCTCTCTAGGGAAGTTAAGTCAGTAGCCTGAGGTTGTGCACTGGTCAAGTGACAGGGACATACTTGGAACTCAGTTATTCTGATTGCTGAGGGAACCTGCCTCCTATGACATTCAGATCACACAGACATGTAGTGGAAGAGAAAAATCTAGACTAAGACTTTGCTCCTTGCAAACACACACTTTTCTGATGTATTTGGGCTCACTCAAGCTGCCGCTTAGCATTGGGAACTAGCATTTCTCTCACCTGGTGGCTGCCATTAATGTCCCCGCTTTTCTTCCACAAAGAGATTTTACTTGCCTCCCTCTTTTCAACATCACTACCTCTCATTTGGTTCAGCCCTTGTTCTGAAGCTGTGAAGATAGTAGCTCTTTCTCCAGCTTCCTTCATGGATGCTATTTTGGAAGCAAACACCCAGGGTCTTCTGTTTTCATGCACAGGTTTCATTTCATTTTGTTCAACACAATAATTGATAATTTCTATTTAGTGGGCCCTTTGTCATATTAAATATGAGTATTAAGTGACCATCAGTACAGGTGGGTAGCAAAAAGGAATCTGGCAAATCTGGGAGCTCTAGAGGATAAGGACTGCATCAGTGAATCCTTATATGCTCAGGATCTACCAAGGTATCCAGCACACAGTAGCCTCTTCCTGGAAATTTGTTAAATGAAAGCCTGCACTTTTTAAAATTTCCCCAAATCTGCAACAATGCCAGGTCTTTCCCAAGGTGTTAAGTTGGGCATAGGATAGAGGTCTTGCTGGTGCTTGCTTCCTGCTCCTTCTTTAGATGGCTTGTGGGAGACACTCCACTCTCCTTTTCATGGGTTCCTGGAAACATCCTTGTGTGGCCTCACTTTCCCTAGGTCCTCTTTAAGTCACAGGAAGGCTAGACTGACATTTGGTGTCATACAGAGGAACTTTAATCTCTTCTCTGGAGTTTAGAGAAAGAAAGTGGACATGCAGCAAGGATTGGGGAGAGTCAGAGGGTCTTTTATTTTTCAAAAGAACTGACTTTTAAAGTAACTCATTTACCATAAAATGAATCAAGGAAGACTTCCAAGACTCCAGGCTCCTAGGAAGAGTTTCTCATTGATAACAGCAATAGTTATTGAATGCCCATTGCATGCCATGAATATACTTAGCGTTTTATGTATGTTATTGAACATTTTTGTTTACTTTGCATTCATTGTCCCAAGTAATCATCTTCTAATGCAAATAATCACTTTCTAATGCCTCACTCAGTTCCACCTTAACCTTTCATCTTCTATGTCTGCTTCCTCTAACATTCGTAACTACCAGGTTATAAGGTCAGGGCTCAGTGGTAAAGCTGGACTTGGCATTGACACGTTAGAACACATGTTTACACACACACACACACACACACACACATTTGATGCGAAAAAAGCTTTCGCTTTAATTCAGGCTGCAAGCGTTGATGCTGTCTTTAATTCCTGATAAATTCTCCATTCTTGGATTTGTTGTGCTTTTCTTACGTGAAGCAGAAGTCAAAGCATATATTGGAATTTTCAAGTAGAAAGATAAACATTGTCATCTGGATCTTGAAAACTATCTTAATATTCTAAGTCACTGATTGTTGCAGAATTTAATTGGGAGAGAAAGTGGCTGTGAATAATCCAAGATTATTAAGGCCCAGAGCACTATAAGCTCAATGGCTGCACACATTTATGGTTGCACAATGCACACACTGTTAGGGGGCTTCCTGACTCTGCCTCCTAGCTGTATGTAAAGGGAGCAGAATGTCTACATGACCCTTCTGCTACTTTGAACAGTGGCTGAAGTGCCATCTTCATACTCCTTGGTAATGGCCTCTGTTCACATCATCTACAGTGTGGGCATCTATGGATGATGTAAACCTCTTAATATGGAGAAGAGTAAGTCCAGAAACAAAGCATGCATTGGTCTGTCCAGCAAGTCTGGTGAGGTCAGACAATTGGAGGGTTCTGTAAGTGCTGAGACCACCCTTTGCATAAACAGAGACTGCCTGTCATTTGCCATGTGGAGTCTTCCCCCACTCCTAACCCCTGCCACCCCAAAGAGAATTCTATTGAACAAGACAAAAATAGTGCTGGCAGAGATTGAATTCAATACCTCTCTGTATTGGCAGAAACGTTTCTTTGCAGCTAGTGTCTAGATTAGTTTAAGTTCAAGGAAAGTATCTTTCTGAAAGACTTCATGATGACTAGGAGAAGTTACAGTGCAAGGCTATTTCCTTTTGATTCTCCTTGCCTTGTTCTCCTTAGCCACCAACTGACATTGCCTCTCTCTTACCCTTTCCTTCCTCCTTTTGACTGAAAGATCTGTTATGTCTCCTTATCAGCTTCTAGCAGCTTCTTGCAGTTTTCATTGAGTGCTGAACTCTACCTCTGTAATGTTGGCTGTAAGAGGGTGAGCATAAATAGAACTGTGGATATAACACTGTGTAACAGAAGAGACACTAGAGAATCCACATGGAGAAGCTGCATCGGTGGGTGGCTGACAAACAGGAAGTAGACCCAAAGGTCAGCACCTAGGCAACACAAAGACGTATCAAGAGGAAAGCTCAGTTGCTGGGGTCAGACCTGAATTGGAATTGGAGGCAAAAAATCATAATCTAGACAAGGGAAACATGTACTGGAAGATAAAAATGAAAGGTGGAAGAGAGTACAAGATTTATTGTCAAAGAAAAGCACTATCATCCAGAATTCCATTTTTACTATAGATCAATTAGGTTATGTCTTTGTGAATCAGCCTCAGCTAGAGTTAAGTCACCAAATTCAGCCAGAAATATCTTTACAGCCTTGTAATTGTCAACTGCATATTAGCTCTATTTATGGAGTTGTTTTGTCTTGCAATTGAAGGCTCTAGCAGCCCCATTTTGGTATACCCCACAATCTAGCATGTGACTCTCTGACAAAATGATGCATTTTATATGAGTTAAATATGAATTTTAAACATATATAAATTTAAAAACAGTACCCAAGAGCCATTTTAATGTCATAACTTGGAAAGTTTCCCTGTGGTATATGAAATGCACAAAAAAATGAAATGAGTAATTATCAGCACCAATCATTTTCACATTTACCTTTAATACTTACAACACATTAGAAAGTTACTTACAAAATGTTAGAAAGTTAAATGAGATAGCCCATGTAAGGAGCTGATTATATGCTTGGAATGTAAGCATATAGTATCATTACACTTACTACAATAAGCATACTCATGTAACATCATTGCACAGTTTTATTTTTGGCACACACCAATCATAAAATGGATTGTGGTAATTTGACCAGATGTTTACCAGAGATACACCAAATCCTCCTTCTTTGGAACAGGCATTTCTCTCTTTTTTCAAAAAAAATTTATTTCAGGTATACAAACTTTATGCATTTCATATATACAAATTTAGGAACATAGTGATTTTTCCCACCTACTCTCCCTCCTGCCCACAATCTCACTCTTCTTCCTCCTTCCTCTCCTATTCCCATT